TTTAAGTACGAACCACAGAGAAGCGATAAGTGCAATTGTCATCATTTTGCTGGAGTGTTTTCGGTGAAATCTGTTGAGAAGAACTACATTTGGGTTCAAACTGTCTTAGGAGGTGTTCGTGGCCGCACGTAATGACCCTCTTCATCCGACGAGCGCCTCGCGCTGAAGGACGGGAAATGGCCACCTCNCGTGGCCGCACGTAATGACCCTCTTCATCCGACGAGCGCCTCGCGCTGAAGGACGGGAAATGGCCACCTCTGTCTGGCCACCTTCAGGCACACTAAGAATTCGAGGGAGCTTTCAGACCATCAAACGCCTTTTATGTGTGTTGGTGCTGCTGTTCTCGGCCTGCAGCTTTTGCCAACCTGCTTCGTCGCTCTTTGTGAAGGGGAGATCCAGCGACAGAGCCACTGCCAAAGGAGGCACAAAGAATGTTTCGGAGATTCCCGCATTTGTGGAGGCATTGCAAGGGGACCCTGCGACCCAAAAGTCGGGGAACACAGGGGAGTCTTGGTATACGCTGAGGACAAACCAAGCCCCTCGCCTACTCCGCGTGACTGCGCTGCCTGAGGAGAAGTCCCATGAGGGCAACCGATGGTATCAGATCATGTTTAACTTCAAACCATCTGTTCTCAAGGTGACCGCGGACTCAAAAGCGCAGACGAGCTGAGGTTACAATTCATTGGAAGGAGATATAAGCATTTTTCTCGTGTTTGAGTCGCTAGCTGGCTGGGGGACAGGTGCGCCTTCACTGTTTGGAGACGCAATCCTTCCCCGGCCGGCTCCCACTGCATTCATAGACGCTTTGCAGACGCCTGGTGAGGTGGGTGATAAATCGTTTTAGTCNGAGGTGGGTGATAAATCGTTTTAGTCGCTGCAGCAGCCCAGTTTGGCCCTTCTAGCAACCCTGGCACAATCTACGTCCACGCAGCACCGCCTGCGTGTTTCACGCCTGCCAGCGTAATGCAGCTTGGATAGGCTGGAGCCTTTTGCTCGGTTTCATCCGAGCTAGCTATGCCTTTGACCAGGCACTGGCTTAACTTGGAATTTATATATTTACATGATTGCCTCTACAGGTGGCGTTGGTTTGAGACTCTCGGCCCACAGGTGCCTTCCCTGTGGTCGAGCTACATATTTGTGCATGCTTCAGCGTTAGCCTGCGTCGCCACTTAGAACGCACCAATGACAACTTCAAACCCGCCGCGCGGGTGTTGGAAGGCCAGCACTCAGAGTAAAACCAATTCACATAGAGGTCCATACGCCCCTTGAGCTGTATCAAGCGAAACATATGCTAGACAGCTAGGAAGGTGGCCTTCCTATTGAGCCTTAGTTTCACCGAAGGCTCAAAAGTTATAGTAGGTACATTCACCGCACTCCGTCCTTTCCTGGATGCACAGGCATGCGAAGCCCAGCACGAGCGTGGAGGGGAAAGCCCGAAATTCCCACTTATCATATGGATGGGCTCAGGTTGCGTCTTCCTAGCATTAGCGGTGNGATTACTCTTACGGCGACAAAAACTGCACGCGTTGCTGCGTTCACTGGCGTTTTAGTTCACCGTGAAGGTTCACTGGGGTCCTGTGCTGCGTGAAAAATGGAGTTCCTGTAAGGCCCTAGTTGGGCGTCGCATCATTCTGCTCGGTGTTCTTCGCCGCGGCAGCTTCTCGAAGTGATGCGATTGCTTCTTCCTCTTCCCGGCTGTGCATCAACTCGACCTCTGCGTCAGTGCCTTCTGAAGAGACCTCATGTGCCATTCTTGGCAAAGGAACAGCTTGGTGACTTTGGTTGGGTTCTCTATTGTTCCCTGAGTTGATGCAGGGGATGGACGAACCAGGAGTACTGCTTAGGCTGGTCAAGGTGGTTGGGGCAGCCGAATAGCACCTGGGATCAGTTGCCCTTCGGACAGCTTGTGCAGGCAAAATGCGTTCCTCAGCAAGCCACTCGGGGACAGGAGTCGATTCATCTGGGTCTCGCTGGCTGCTGCGACCTGTGGGTGCCGCCTCACTTGGAGGTGGCACGACGGCATCTCCTGGAGGCCGAGCAGGTATGCGCCGGCTGAGGTCAACCATTTCTTGNGCTCCTGCGCTTTTTACTAGAACGAAGGGACGAAGTAAAGTTGCTTTCGTCTACAGACGAGGCGCAGGAAGATCCCGTAGGCATGCACAGTCGGGCCCTTGCGACGGCAGCCAACTCGCTCATGGGCACACCTGCCAATTTCAGGGCCTGCAGCGCTTCTGCCCTCTCCCGCTGCCGGCGATGGGCTCGGCCGCGGCAACAGAAAAGCCAGCACAGGATTACAATGAGAGTGGCCGCGAGAACGAGGATAGAAAACGCAATAAATCCGAGAATACCTTCTCGGCTGAACATTTGCTGCAGGATCTTCTGGAATCCGCCGACTCCTTCCCGGAGATCAGGGGTCATCGCTCGCGAGCACCTGAAGGGGAGGGCAGGCCAGCTGCCCTCAGAGCAAACAAGGCGATGTGTCCGCCTCTGTGGGTAGTAGCCTCTGCTGCAAGACACTTCGCGTTCGTCTCCCTGGTGCTGGCCCTCTCCTGTAACTACGTAGGCGCTCCCCAGCTGCTCGAACTCGGGACAGAGCCGATGGCAGGTGAANGGCCCTCTCCTGTAACTACGTAGGCGCTCCCCAGCTGCTCGAACTCGGGACAGAGCCGATGGCAGGTGAATGTTGGTCTCTCTAGCTTCCATTCACCGTCAATACACTTCAGCCACGAGCCTTCCTGACCCCTTCCAGCAGCGAACCCGTCGGCGCATCTCACAAACAAAGCAGAGCCATGGGCAACACCTTGCGTTGCATTGGTGACAGTTGCCTCTCCGAAATTTACCATTGGGGGGCTGTGCCC